TAGACAAGCACATGGCAACATGCCTGTTTAAACCAAGCCCCCCACTACCGAGTCCATGCTGACTCACAGTGACCCTCTAGGGCAGAGTAGAACTGCCCCATCGGGTTTCCAAGGCTGCCATCGTTATGGGAGCAGACGGCCACCTCCTTCTCCTGTGAAGAGGCTGCTGGGTTCACGCTGCCGATCTTCTGGTTTGAGCTGAGTGCTTAAACACTGTGCTTCACCAGACTCCCTTTTTTGGCCCGTTCAGTGGCTGTGCAATGGCAGCATCAGACCCTGAGGGGACAGTGAATCAACACCAGCCCCAGGCTGATTTCCAACGCGGAGGTCAACCCCCTCGCCAGCCTCTCCCGCCCTGCCGCCCGCGGCCCTCAGCTCTGCTCTCTGCTCTGCTGAGAATCCCCTGCAGTGGCCACACCGGCCTCAGACCACGAGATGACAGAGCTTCTCAGGGAACTGACAGGCTCCGCCTCAGGACCAGGGTCAACGTGGAAGGAACAGGAATGAGTCAGGATGGTGTCTCAGCCATGCCCACAGGGGCCTCGTGCCCTCACCCCCGGCTCTCAGTGCTCGCTCTTAGCCGGGCCTCTCCCCTGCAGGGGCAGGTGTTTCAAAGCTCTTCAGCTCTGCGGAGACGTGTCCGGAGGCGCCCACTCCGCTGGGAAGCCTCCTGTCACAGGCGCTCAGCTCTCCTCTCCGTGGGCCGGCCCGTCCTCTGCAGCCACAGCTCCCCTGCGGGCTCGGAGGTTCACACCGCCTCCTGGTTCTGCTGCTGGCCCATCGTCACTGTTAGAGCTCTCTGTCTTCTGGGTCTGGGAGGTTCTCAGCACAGGCCCGTGGGTCCACAGGACATATCTGCCTCTGCCTCTTCCCGATGTAGTGAGGCGCCCCTGCAACCTCTGGGATTGGTTTGTTTTAAGCCTAACAGTAGGAGCTCTGGTGGTGCAGTGCCTAAGGCACTTGACTGCTAACCAAAAGGCTGATAGTTCAAACCCACCAGCCACTCCTCAGAAGGAAGATGGGGCAATCTGTTTCCGTGGAGATACCGCCTCAGAAACCCAAGGAGGGGTTGCTGTGTGTCAGATCCGACTCAACGGCAGTGAGGTTTTTTCTTTTTCGAGAGCCGACTGACCGATCCTCTCGTTAAGGTTCTCTCCACCTTGAGTGCACGGCCCCGCCCACACAAGGGTTTCCTGCACCTTGTTCGCATTAGCAGATTGTCTAGTCTCCTTGGCGGCCTCTCAGTCTGTCTATGGAAGTCACAGGACCAGGCCTGGATGAGTACATAATAGCACTTTACTGCACAGCGGGACTCCGTTCGGTCCCACAGGCACTGGGTGTGAGGACGGGGTGTGAGGTGTGCGGGGGCCTAGGCTTGAGGGATTCGGGGGCTGGCACGGAGCAGCCCTGCTGTTTGAAGGAAGGAGAAGTGGGCACTGCTTGACCTTCGAGAGGCCTTCTGGGTGCAGACTGGCAGCTGTGAGGCAGGACCGTTCCGGGGCCTCTTCCTGGGCCCTGGGCACGACAGAGGACGGAGTGGCAGACAGGGTCAGGGTGCACGGACGAGGCCAGGCCGAGCTCAGCGGCAGCTGTGGGGAGGAGGACAAGGGTGGGGACGTGCTGAGGAGTGAGACTGGCAGGGCTTGGGACAGGCCTTGGTGACTGCAGCTGGCTGGCTTCCATTTCAGGGGAAGCAGCGGCTTGCCTGGAGCCTCACGGCTGAAAGGCAGTCCTGGGCTTCTGCCTCGCGTCCCTCTCTCACTCCAAAGCCCCCAGGTACTGACGTTTGGAAAGGTGGTTGCACCGTTAAGATGACAGTGGCTGCAAATAACAAAGGCACTGTCTTTGCTCTGGTAACTGAAGAGAGCAAGGGACAGCTTCAGGCAGGGCTTGATCCAGTGGCTCAGGGGTGGACCGAGGACCTGCTGTCTTCTGTGGCAGCTTCCTCCGGACTGGCTCCCTGTGCTCCGCCCCTTTCCAGTGGTGGCAGATGTCCTCGTTTGCCTCCACCCGGAAACAGTGTCCTTGGGTCTGTGTTCCCACTGGATGTCCTGAGAGCTACTGCAACTGCTGGGCCTGGGTCGCACAGCCATCACTGGGGCGGGCTGGAAAGGACATGAGGCTCAGCCAAGATGGAGTGCCCCGCCCTGAACAGCTGGGGCGCTAGAGAAGGGAGTGGGGGTGCTGGGAAGACCGAGCCCAAGTGTCCTTCAGGTAGCGTGGGTCCAGGTAGACGTAAGGCCCGGGTAACGGACGATGCCCTAAGGTGAACAGCAGCCCTTGAAGTGCAGTTGCAGACGGGATTATAAGAAACCTCTCTCTCCTCACAAAACCCAGGGCACCAGAAGCAAATCGACCCGCAGACGTTCCGAGACTTCTACAAGTGTTGGAAGGAGACGGAGGCCGAGGCGCAGGGGGTCAGCCTGCCCTTGGCGGTGATGGAACACCTGGACAAGAGCGAGTGTGTCTACAAGCTGTCGGGCTCGGTCAAGACGAACCGCGGCGTGGGCAGGATCGCCATGACCCAGAAACGCCTGTTCCTGCTCACGGAAGGCAGACCTGGCTATGTGGCCATCTCCACCTTCAGGAACATAGAGGTGAGGGCGCCACCTGCTGGCAGCCACCCCGAGCCTGCCCTTTGCAAGGCGCTCCCCTTCCTGCACCAGTCTCCTACGCCTGGGGCGGGGGTGAGGGCCGGAGCTCCCCGTAGGGTTGCCCCGGGTGACCCTAACGGGTCCTCCAGCCCTCGCTCGGGGGAGGGGGACAGAGCCAAAGCAGCCGTGTTCTGGTCCTGCCTTCCCAGGAGGGAAGTGGCAGCGCGGACGTGGCCCCCCCTGTAACCGGCAGACGCAGGAGCTGCCGTGTGCCAGTGACGGCAGGACGCACTGTCCCAGCTGGCCCTGCGGCCCGTCTCACAGCACCTTCGGTCCAGTCGGCAGTTCCTTAGTCCATCGTTGTTCGTGCTGTCAGGCTGCTGCTGACTCAGGCTGACCTCAGGAGTCACGGAACAGCACTGCCGGGCCCTGCCTTAGCCTCCTAGTCCCTGTCGTGCTGGAGCCCAGCGTTGCAGCCGCTGTGCCAGTCCCTCTCTGAGGGTCTTCCTCTGCCTCACTGACCCTCCACTTTACCCAGCATCATGTCCTTTTTCAGTGCTCCCTAGTGGCTCAGCTGTTAAGCACTCACCTGCAAACTATAAGGTTGATGGGTCGTATTGATACTGCCTCGGAAATCCAAGGAGGGGTCGCTGTGAGTCGGCTACGACTCCATGGCAGTGAATTTATTCTATTTTAAGGACAGGCGCCCTGGTGGCATAGTGGTTAAGTGTTCGGCTGCTCTCCACAATGTTGGCAGTTCGAACCCACCAGCCATTCCTCAGGAGAAGAGCCTTGGTGTCTGCTCCTGTAAAGACAACAGCCTAGGAGACCCTGAGGCAGTTCCACTCTGTCTTGTAGGGTCCCCGAGTTGGAATTGGCTTGATGGCGTCTAACAAACAACAACGTATTTTACAACTCACTTTCCCTGTTGAGGAAGTCGGAATTTTGATCCTGATTCACTTTATGCTCCGTATCTGTTTCCCCAAGTTTAAGGGGGATATAAGAGGCATGTTGGGTGTGCTAACGCTTTAGGCGACCAGCAGTGAGTATTCACAGAAATAGGGCAGGGACAAGACCGCAGTTATGACAAGGGGTGCGTGCGGGACCAGTGACATCCTCCCACCCACACCTGCGCCCCCTGAATTCTGGGGTGAACTGCAGGGGAGCCGTCTCACGCTGAGGAAGCCACGCTGGGTCTGTAGTCACAGGTCATGCTCACTGCCCCTGGGACCTCATGGCTCCCAGGCACCTGGCCTGCAGCCCTGGCTCAGGGCTCACCTGCTTCTGAGGAGAGGCCACTGTCTTCCCCCAGGCCGTCCTTCCGAGGGACCAGCCCTGGCTCCGGGACGCACCCTGCTTGGCCTCCCCCCACTCCCTGCCCAGCTCTGGGCAGTCCTGAGGGCTCTTGTCCAGACTTCTGGGACAGGGCCCCGTTTGCTTCTTCACCCTTCGTATTGGCACATGAGCCCAAGTGGCCCCTTCCGGACTGTTTGGCTCCTTGGGGATCCTTCCCCTTCTGGTCTGAGACCTGTGAGCCCCTCAGGAGACACGGCCTTTAGCGTGTGCTGAACTTCACTTTAACCGCAGGCCTCTCCCCTGCACCTTCTTCTCATGAGTGTGTGGCGGTTCTCAGGTTGCTTTCTCTCGGCCTCTCTAGGAAGTTAGGAGTACCACGGTGGCCTTCCTGCTCCTGCGAATACCCACCTTAAAAATTAAAATGGTGTCCAAGAAGGAAGTCTTTGAAGCCAACCTCAAAGCCGAGTGCGACCTCTGGCACCTGATGGTGAAGGAGATGCGGGCCGGGAAGAAGCTGGCGGATGACCACAAGGTCCGTGGGGCTCTGCCTTCTGCTGCAGTGCAAGGCTGGGCTTGGACACTGTCCATGTCCTACTGACAGCAACAGTTACCACAGTTACTGGGCCTCTGGGGGACCCGGAGGGCCTGGGCCTAGAGGTGGAGCAGGTGGAGCTACAACAGGTCTCCTCAAGGCCTCAGAGATGACATGGCTTTTGTGTCCCTGTAAAAGGCCTGTGGCTGTGCAGACGCCATGGTGAGCCAGCCAAGGGGCCAGCAGTGCAGGGTGGGAGAGCGGTGGCCACTGTGGGGCCACTCCTTGCTCCCCCTCTGTCCTGGTGACACCCCCAGGAGGCGGAGGACACGGCTGGACGGGCTGGCTTTGTCCAGCTGGAGGTCTGCGTTCAGGGCCCATCTGCTCTGGGTGAGGGTGTGGTAGAGGGAGGGCTTGAGTCCTTCTACACGGCAAAGCTGAGATCCCAGGGCCTCGTGGACCTTGACTGACTGTGGGCCACGTTGGCGGCTGGGACTACAGCCCAGACTTCACGGTCAGTAGCGTTAACAGACGGGGCTGTGCGTTGTCTGAATGGCAGAGTAAGACAGGAGCCCCCTAAAAAACAGGCAGAGATGAGAAGAGCCGAGTCACACAAGGGTGACGATAAAGATTATCAGTAACCCCACTAGCGTCAGAGAAATGAAGGTTACAGCCACACCAGCCCGTTGGCAAACATTGGAAAGACAGTCTGCTATCTAGGGGCAGGGGGCTGTTCTCTAGGATGGTAAGTTCCCAGCAACTGGACAAGTTCAAGGTCAGGAACACTGCAGTGGGAGACAGGACCAGATCCTTTCAGAGTCGAGCAGGCTGTACACAGTGGGCAGGTGTTTGCTCTTACTGCCCAGAGACCTAGCCCTCTATCCAGCTACATTGGTGTTGTTTGCCGTCGAGTCGGCCCCAACTCATAGTCAAAGGAAGGCCTGTGGGCCGGCTTTTGTAAATAAAGTTTTATTGGAATGCAGCCACACCCACTCATGTCTACAATGTCAGTGCAGAGCTGAAGAGTGGCACAGAGACCCTGTGGCCCCCAAAGCCTAAAGGATTTCACTGCCTGGCACCCACAGAGCACGCCTGCTGACCCCCAGTAGAACGGGTTACCACTTGTCTTAACTGAGAGAAGAAAACGCATGACGTCAAATCCAGATCGATATTTCCACTCTTCGTGTTGCTGTCTAGGGTTGTTTCATGCAGTGTGCTAAGGTTATAGCCAGCTGGTCAGGACACACGGTGGACTCACTCTGCGGGTGGTCAGGGCACATGGTGGACTCACTCTGCGGGTGGTCAGGGCACGTGGTGGACTCACTCTGTGGGTGGTCAGGGCACGTGGTGGTCAGAGCACACGGTGGACTCACTCTGCGGGGGGGGTCAGGGCGCGTGGTGGACTCACTCTGCGGGTGGTCAGGGCGTGTGGTGGTCAGACACATAGTGGCCGAGGTGCGTGGCAGACTCACTGTGCTTCTGCCTAGGACCCTCAGTACATCCAGCAGGCCCTGACCCACGTATTGCTGATGGACGCCGTGGTGGGCACGCTGCAGTCCTCCAACGCCATCTACGCTGCCTCCAAGCTGTCTTACTTGGACAAGATGAGGAACGAAAGTAAGCCAGGCCTCCGACGGGCTGAGCTTCGTGATTTATCACTGGTGTCTGTTTGATGAAAGAGAACCAAATCCTCGGTTCTCAGTTTCTGTTTCTGAAAAGACTTTTTAGGTCTAGGAAATAGGAGGGGTGAGAGTGGCTTTCTGCATTCTTTTAGTTCCTCTTGTTTTAATTTTGTTTCAGTTTTTAACTGATCAGCTAAACCAGTTGTCTTGTGATTTGCATAAAAGAAGTGAGGATGACATAGCCCAAAATCCCAAGCCTGCTGCTGCCCAGTGGATTCGGCCCATGGCGTTACAGGGCAGAGCTCAGCCCCCGAGGGCGCCCCGCTGTCGTCTTTGTGGAAGCGGATGGCCGGGTCTTTCTTCCACGGAGCCACTGGGTGGGTCTGAACCGCTGACCTCTTGGTTAGTAGTTGTGAGTGAACCGCACCAGCAGGGAACCGTGAAGCATCCATCAGGGACGACTTGCTGCTATTAACCTAACTGTATGCACAGTCACCGTAACTCATATTAACTGAAACCGACGGTACAAAATTACAGAATGCACATTAGCAGAGTAGTTTTTTTAAATGGCACCTCGTTTTGTTTGTACACTGTTCTCGTATTTTTTTTTTTTTTTAATGTTGCCTCAGAATTAGGAAACACCAGCCTGGTACGTGTTTGTTCCTGTTGGCACGTGTTGCTCTCTCGGATCCCAGCATCCCCTTGCCCATGTCCCAGGAGCCTTGGGCCGTGGTCACAGTTGGGACGGTCTGGGTCTGCACCACGGGCCTGGAGGAGCCCCTTGTCTGACAGCCACCAAACCCAAACACCAAGGTCACGGCCATCGAGTTTATTCCGACTCACGGTGACCCCACAGGGTTTCCAAGGCTGTAAGCAGACCACCTCATTTTTCTTCTGTGGAGCGGCTGGTGTTGGAGCTACTGACTTCTGTTTAGCAGCCAAATGCCTTAACCACCACACCACCAAATCTTAATACCCATGGAACCAGAAAATGATTGACCCATCTTTTTTTTTCCCCTTCAGTAGGAACAAAATCAAACACCACCCCTCAGCTGTTCATATCATTAAAGACTCCTGCCTGGTCCGCCACCACGTCTCCCTGGGAACACACGCAGATGCCCGTTCATCCTCCGCCACTGCCCGCCACCTTCCCTCAGGGCAACGGCTCGTTAGTTTGTGCCTCGTTTGTGGTGGAAGAGCTGAGGTTCCATGATGATCAGTGACTTCCCGTGTCAGAGTAGGCGAAGGGCGTCGGCAGAGTCAGGCTAGGAGCCTGGGGAGACAGCTGCACCTGTCCAGTGCCCTGGTTGGCCCCACGGGCCGTGTGACCTGTGGCAGGCCGCATTGCGTCCATGCAGCCTGGCTTTTCCATCACTTTAACAAATGAGGAGAGTAGTAGACACCTCCCTGCTGTCGTGAGACGAAGGGATGCCTTGCAGCACGTAATGGCAGCCCTTAGATGGCCGTGACAGAGTGATGGACTGACGGGGCTGTGAAGGTGTCCTCGGGCTGATTCAGCAGGTGGTCCCAGGGACTCTGTGGAGGAGGCAGCATCAGGCGTGGCCCCAGGAGGAGAGGACGGAAGATTACCTTCCTGGGCCGTGGTCCTCAGCCAAGGGCAATTTTGTACTCCCCCCGCCCCATGGAGGAGACTTGGCAATATCTGGGGACAGTTTTGGCTTTTACAACTGGAAGGGTGCTACCAGAGTGTAAGGAGCCCTGGGGACACAAAGGTTACAGGCTCGGTTGCCAACCAAACCCACCCAGCGGCTCCATGGGAGAACTCCCTGGCAGTGTGCTCCGGCAGATGATGGCATCCGCAGGAGGGCCTGTCGGGCAGCGTCCCCATCAGAGGGGGTCACTGAGTCCACCCACCCAGCTGGAGTCGATGGGGAGAGGCCAGGAATGCTGAACATCCCGCAGCGCACGGGCCAGCCCCCGTGCAGCAGAGGAGGGCGGGCAGAGCTCAGAGACATCGCTGGCCCAGTTCCAGACCCCTGCAGCAAAGCGAGTCTTGCAGTAACGTGGATTTTGCACGAATCTTTAGGTTTCCCAGTGCCTATCAAGGGTATGGGCGCTCTGGTGGCATAGTGCCTAAAGACACTTGACTGCTAACTGGAAGGCTGGCGGTTCAAACCCACCAGCCACTTCCCGGAAGGAAGGTTGGGTGATCTACCTCCACAGTGATACTGCCTCGGAAACCCAAGGAGGGGTCACTATGAGTCGGGTCTGACTCGACAGCACATAACAACAACAACAACAATCAAGGTTATGTTTACACTAGACTGTAAGCTACTGAGTGTGCAATCGCATGATGAAAAAGTGTGAAATAACGTGAGAATGACCAAAATGTGACACCGAGATGTGAAGTGGGCACGTGCTTCCTGGCTGAGAGCAGAGCCGTGTACGGACAGAGCCCTCCCAGTCCCCACCTTTCCCAGGTTGCCGAACAGATGGCAGTGAGACAAAGGGCACGGACACGGGCCTTTACTTTAACGCCTGGCTTCACAGAGAGCTTCCACGTCATGATTTTGAAGTTTTACCTAAAAACGAAAACCCTAAGAAAAGCAGAAACTATGAGGCAGTTGAGTAAGATCCATTTCATCGTATCTAGTAAACTCACAGGAGCCCTGGTGGTGCCCTGGTGAGCACTCAGCTGTTAACCGAAAGGCCAGCGGTTCAAACCCACGGCAGCTCTGGGGAGGGAGACTTGCCAGTCTGCTCCCGTAAGGATGACAGCCTAGGAAACCCTAACGGGTACCTCTACTCCACCCTGCCTCACAGGGCCGCTGTGGGTTGGCATCGACTCGCCCGACACCAACAGTAACACTAACTGTCCACGTGCTTGTGTTTCAGTGCCCATGGCGGTTCCACTGACAACCTCCGAGACCCTGAAACACAAAATCAACCCTTCAGCCGGAGAGACCTTCCCACAAGCCGTTGACGTCCTGTTGTACACGCCAGGTGAGGCTGCTCTTCTGGGCACTCTGGTATGTTGCGACGGCTCGAGGCCAGCCGTGACGTGAAGCGAGGTGGCAGCGTGAGGCGTAAACGGGGACGAGGCTCTGCTCTTTGCGGAGAAATCCCGAGTCAGGGTGCGAGCTGCTGTGGCCAGTGTGATGCGCCCTCGTGGTGGCTGGTCCGTGCGTGAGCCCGCATAGGACGCTGAAACGGGGCAGGAGCTTCAGTGCCCAGCGTCTTCTGTTTTTAAATCTTTTTATTGTGATCTGGGTGCAAATTTACAAAGCAGATTCATTTGACACACAACAGTTCATGGACATTTGGTTTCACGGCCCCGATTACCATTCCAGCCATAAAAATCTCTCCCCCCTCCCTCCCTGTGACACCC